ACAACTCACGGAAAGTGCCTATTGTTATTTGTGTTTTGGAATCTGTCTTTTTTTGTTGCGGTTACACAGGAGAGATACATCAGGATGGCAAAAAAATATGTGATGATATGAATGATAGAACTTATTGTCACAAAAATTTGAAGAGGGTTCGTGGCCATCATAATTTGGACAGGATCTGCTCGGAGGTGCAAGTGCGGTTTCATCCGTTACTCAAGTGTCAGTCATGTAAAAATAAATGGACGCCTGCTTCTGTTTGTGCCCTGGGAGTGACGGCGGAACAGGCCTCGGCGTCATCTGCCTTTTGCTCAAACTCAGCTGTGACGAGCTCCCCGTGACCCTGAACAGGCTGTGCTGTCTCGAAAATGGATCGATGTTATTTGTTAGTTTGGCCTTAATGGAGGTCTTTGTTCTTCTGTGACGTTAGACTTTGCCTTAGGTGAGGCTCATCCTTTTCAGGAGCAGGTCGTTCCATTACAGGGATGAATTTTGAGATTACAGAAAGGTTAGAGTAGATAGATGAGGTGAAGGGAAAGTTTTATGATCCTAATTAAGGTAAGGGACTTTAATGAGACAAGTCAGCCAGCGATCAAGATTAGCATTGAAGTCATTTTCCAGGACAGGAAAGTGCATGCTGCCTGGAAAGCTGTGTATACTTTGCCACAGAAATGTTTCTTTTTTGTGTGTGTGTGTTGGGGTCATTTGTTATGAGAACATTAATTATAATCACTATTGGCTAATTTTAAGATGAACAGCTTTCTGACAGTTTTTTTGTTTTTTTTTTGATCTTTATGCTCATAAATAATTCTACACAGGCAATCAGTTGGGCTTACAATCCATTATGACACTCCGGATATCTCAGCTTGTCCATTTTTTTTTTTTCCCAAGACTGGACCTCTTTTAAGTGAAATAAATCCATGTGTGACACGAGTGTGTGCTGCTGGTCAATATATCGGGTAAATTCCCCAGCAGCAAACATGGCCCCCTTAAAATATCAAACAGACAAGATTGAAGATTGCATTATTGAAGAGATATCAACCCAACGAGTGGAACTGCTCCTAAAATAATGTTTGCAGACTGCTCTGTTTGCAGTAGAAATTGAATCCGAAAGCTTCTGAAAATTTGATGTGCTTATTGCAAGGAGGGAATTTTCGCAATAGCGAGTATAGGTTTGCTGTTTGACTGACTGACTGACTATAAATTATTGACCCCATGCTATTTTTAAAATATTGACCATGTTTTCAGAGGCTTTTCGACTTGGGGCAGGGCACTGTATTGGGTGTTTTAAAGGAAATCTCATGAATTTATAAACAGGCCATGTGGAAGGTCAGCAGATGCTGTCACCTGATGCATGTTTTTTTGTCTTGTGTCACTCACGCCGTTATATCTGAAATGATTCATTGAATGAATTCATTTAACACATTAAATAAATAATTGCCATGACTTAGTATTACAATATATTGTATTTTATATACCGGTAATTATATCAGCCGGAACCACGGCCTTAGACAATGTGAGGGGAATCATGAAAAATGCCGAATAGCTGAAAGCAAAATACAATGTCAGCGAAAGCCTACTAGAACAGTTGACGCATTGGTGGTTAATCACAGGCACTTTAAATGATGTGCGGAGTCCCATTTAACCTCAGTTTGAATGTGTTTCATTCAATAAACAGTTACATCCTACTTCTAAGAGGGTGTGCACGCTTTTGCAACGACGTGATTTTATTGGTTTGTCTTTACTTCCCCTTTCTGAAAGATCACAAAACAAAAACAAAAAAAAATGCCATTTGAACAAGGGTGTGTAGACTTTGAATATCTCCTTGACTCATCAGTCTGTTTAAAAAAAAAAAAGTGCTGTAGCTCGAGGACAAAAATATTTTTGTTTTGACAGTGTGAAAAAGGGTCATGAGTGTGACGTCAATTCTCTCAATTGATGAGTTTTGATGTCTCTTGTTTCCCTCCGTGAGTGAGAACCTGCATGGAACGCGGGATGCATGGCGCCACGCTGTCTTAGTGCCCTTCGCTGCCTTTTACCTCATACATATTTTTCATATATCCATTGTGATGCACTCACACTTGAGCAGACTGTCATGTTTCATAAATATGCAACGACAAGTCGCTGAACAGATAGGCGCTCTTGGGTCACTCAGCTCGGCATGCTCATTTTCTGTCAGGTACTTCCTTTTTTGACATCAAAATAAAGTGCTCCGTGCTTGAAGCAGATCGTTGTTGTGCCAAATTTGAGTTGCGGCACATAAGCAATTCTTCAAAGTATCATCTTTTTTTTTTTATTTTGGGCTGTTTGACAGGTTGTCAGAACAAACATCCTATATTAAATTATATCTGATGCAAGATGGGGTTTCTTTCTTGTTTTTTTTTTTTTTTTGTAGTTGTTGTCAAAATGACTTTAAAACAAATCATGATGCATGGTGCCATATTGCAAAGTCAGAACCAATGGAGCCATGCATAAATTACACAAACAGAGTTTCTGTAAGTCTTAATGGCCACTTGCAGGACAAACCATTCTTACTCACATTCACACCGGTTTGAACATTCATCGTGCATTCTTTTTGGAACATTGGAGGAAGCCAGACTGGAAAAATCCCACGCATGCACAGGAAGAAAATACGATCTCCTCACAGAAAGTCGCGGAGGTTCTAACCCTGAAGCTCACAAATGCTGATAGATTTGCTTTCCGCTAATCTCCGTGCTGCCAGGAAATTGGTTTTTTTTTGTTTATTTTTTTTAAAGAATTGACATGTCTTAATTGAATTTGGCTCCTCAAACTGTCAGCTATTCTTCCCCAATTGTTATTAAACGATCGCGACATATTAATACAATGTTTTTTTTTTTCTTTTGCTGTGTCTGACTATAGTTGACAGAGGTCAATTGAGGTTAGCGGAGGTCAACTCATTCGGTACACGAACCCCTTTGGTGCCCATCAATTGATTCCGTCGTGCTAATGAGCTCATTTGCAGGGATTACACATCATTTTCTCCGGAAGCTTTTTGGTTTGGATTAAGACGGGTAGAGGTGTTGATGAGATTGATGTGTTAGCATAAATATTGCTGCATTGTTTTGTCACATGCTCGCCTTCCATATGAACCTCAAGTCATAACGCAAAAGCCTCGAGTCCAAGCCGGTATTAAATTTCGATCGAGTCAAACTGGCAGCATGTTGGTTTCTGGTTAGCACATCTGCCTGACAGTCAGATGTTCTTGGTATGAATCTCAGCCTGTGTGTGTGTGTGTTTTTTTTTTACCAATTTCCTCTCATTTGAGAGACTGACATCAACTCCAGTTCACCCGCAACCCTAAACAGGACAAGGCGTACTTAACGGATGGATGATAGAATTCCAATTTTGTCCTCATGTATTTTGGGGCCGGCGTTGACATGGACACAGGACATGATTTACGGCCACACGTCTAATTGAATCAATTTTTAACTACCCACGAAGATGAGCACCTCCTGACAATTGCGGCCGCTCCATGTGGGATTGGCCAAAGTAGACTTGTTGATGCAGGCGAAATGAATCCCGTCAACTTCAGGGTCAAGTGTCAAAGATAAGATGAAAAATGTTGTGCTGCACACGGGATTGCGCTCTCTCAAGACTGCCAACAGCATGACGAGGGGTGACTTTTGAAGCATATCATCATTACGGAACAGACAGCTGCGCTCAAAGTCAACTCTGCGTCTCGCCACGCAAATGCGTCTCCACTTCTGAACTTTTAACTGTCCGAATGGCTGGCGGTGTTTTCCCTGATATGTTCCTGTGGATCCCTCGCTACAAGTAACCAAATCAGATCATTCTGAATTGTTACCCCTTGACAATATGCCTGTTGTCTGAATGAAGCTCCTCAACTCACTTCAATGAGTTGGCACCAAGAGGCCGCAAGATGGCATCAAGGCAATACTGTTATTTACTGTATATGGCCAAAAGCAGTGAATAGGTGCGTTTTCAGCAATGTAAAGTCATTTTTAAGCTCTTGTAAACAATTTAGAAACCATTTTAAAAAGTGTCTCCTCTGTGGTTCCATGTGTATTAAGTTTTACAACAAGAGCCAATAGATGGTCAACACACACTGTAAAATCGGATCCGCTGAGTGCGGTGCAATAAAATACGCAGAACTCCACAATTTAATGACTTAAGATGTAACTGTGAGGCTAGCAGGACTCTTACAATAGATTTGCAGACCATTTAGAAATGTGGCCACCCGAATGCATTAATATTGTTTTATTGCACTATTGGGCTTCCGGATAAGTGGACCTATCCATGCAATATTCATGGATCATTTAATAATGTCAAAAAAGTGGTGTTAACCTGCATCCAATGTTATACTTTGTACTATATTGACACAATAAAGCCCATGTCGCCTTGTGAACGTGACAAGAATCAAGGCAGCTTCGTTGTTTCTTTGTGTGCGAGTTATGCATTCACTTCACAGTTGTCTGACATGTCTGTGTGGACTATCAAAAATGCATTCGGATGCTCAGTATTCCTTCAGCCCAAAGCAAGCTCCTGCGTCTCATTCTTTGATTCGATTAGGCAGAGACACAAGGCAGGCTTCCCTGCTGCCTCTGTCACGGATTCGCTCCTGCAAGTGCAGATGCCGGAATATATTACAGCCAGTAAAGCGATTAAGTTCTGCAGTGTAATACCCCAAATCATATTCCTTGTGTGAATTTTTTGGTGACTCTGCGTGCGGATGAAAAGTACCATAAAATATCGGGAATCGGTTTCTTTTTTGAGCCACAGTACACATTGTCTCAGTGTTATGAAGTCAAGAGTCTTCCCATCCATACTCCCCTTTTTTTGTGTTGTGGCCAAAGCCTTGTCTAATACAGAAGGACCACTTTGCTATCTTGTGCCATCTTTGAGGCATCTCGGGGACGAGGAACTATGTTAAAATGGCAGCAGGAGCTGCATTTATTCGAGCCATAGCCCTGTCTAATAGTATTACTTTGCCACCATCTTGTGGTAACTCGAAGCATTTTTCCCAGGTGCTTTCGCTGGGTGCAGATGTTTTGCCAGAGTACAAGCTGCAGGCTCCTCGCATCCACAGCTGGACCGTGTTGCACTACAGTCCCTTCAAGGCGGTGTGGGATTGGCTCATCTTGCTGCTGGTCATCTACACCGCCATCCTGACTCCTTACTCAGCGGCTTTCCTCCTGAACGACCAGGTGTGTCATTACAAACAAACAAACAAACAAGAAAATGCTCATAGAAATTAGCATCTATTAAAAGTTAAGTGGTGGAGCGCCACAAAAGCCACACATTTTTTGAAACGAATGACGACACTGTGATGACAATACATGATGCAAATTCCACAGGTCATCTTGCAAAAAGTATTTCCAAAGCTATTTGTCGTCCAGATGGTGTCTGTTCATCCATCTGAAAGCGATAGAAGCGCACGCCCGCCCTCGGCTAATGATCTTCTCTTTGGCTTTTGATATCCTCTTTTCATCTCAGGAAGAAGCAGCCATGCAGCGTTGCGGTTACTCCTGCTCTCCTCTCAACGTGGTGGACCTCATTGTGGACATCATGTTTATCATCGACATCCTCATCAACTTCAGGTCTGAATGACATCCGACGAATACGTGCTCACAAAAGAAGTCTTTTCGCGGCTCAGAGCATTTCCTTCTCAAAAGTTACTGGATGCAAATGATAATACGGTCTCACACAACAGCGAAAATGTTCAAAGTGTAATTTCTTCAGAAAAGATATAAAAACAAATCGTGAGCAAAATTAGAGGGATGAACTTATTTTTGTGATAACTGTCCATTAAATATTGGCTGCAAAAATGAGTGATGTTTGGGTTTACCTTCATTCTTCTCTCAGGACAACATATGTGAACTCTAACGACGAGGTGGTGAGCCATCCGCTGCGAATCGCCGTGCACTACTTTAAAGGCTGGTTCCTCATTGACATGGTGGCCGCCATTCCCTTCGACCTTCTAATTTATCGCAGCGGGGAAGAGGTAAGGCGGAATATAATGACATAATGATGATGTGATGTTGTTAATATGGGAGGGAAATAAATTCGACCCCATTCTGACATTTATGTCATAGAAGCATGCTTGTGTAAAACTTTTTGCACTCTTTTGACCCACCAACCCACCCATACATATTTAAACAAATATGTATACACACGTTAAGGTAAAATGAATAAAAGGAAAACAACCAAGGTGGCTGAACGATGTTGGGTGGGTTCAGGCGACCAGAGCAAGAGATGGAAGAGCCAAGGAAGGCCAACCAAGAGTCAGAAAGTGAGCGACTCTCTGAGGAGACGTCCTAATGAGGACCAAAATCACCCGAGGCCAAGGATGACTGATTCACTAGACAGTGCAGCCCAGCCTGGGGGTTATTCCAAGTGGTAAATAATCTCTGTGTAATGACATCGGAAAGCGTTTCTATCTTGCTATTTGTTTTATTTATTGCAATTTGATGGGAATTAAAAAAAAAAAAAAGTTAGACATGTAGAAACTCCCCTTGGAGGTTTTGCTTCAGTGATGTTGGCCAGGAAAGCCACTGAGCCCAGAAATTGCAGATTATTCTCACCAGACAGCTATTACTTACTGTGAGGACACACACACACACACACACACACACACAGCAGGACTATAGGCTCTCCGTCAGTGAAGCTTTTATTTTTAATTAACTGTATTCATCGTATGGACATGAATGGAAGGGGAGGAGCTCATCCACCAGAGTACCTCATTAGTTTTAAAAAGGTGTGCCCACACTCTCCCTCAAATCAGAGGCACGCTTAACTCTCCTCTCTTTCCCCTCTCGACAGACCACCACTCTGATTGGGCTGCTGAAAACAGCTCGCCTCCTCCGGTTGGTCCGCGTAGCACGAAAACTGGACCGCTACTCCGAATACGGCGCAGCCGTCCTCTTCCTCCTCATGTGCACCTTTGCCCTCATCGCGCACTGGCTGGCGTGCATCTGGTACAATGCTAACAGCTGCCTTGTTTACAAAATTTGCATCCACGGGAAAAAGTGACTGGACTTCTGTGTGCACTTGAAAAATGAAGTCCTGCAGCTAAAAATTGTTACTGGACCAAACCTGTAATTGTAGAGAAAAAAATGGGAGCAGATTCTCAATCATCACAATAAAAAAAATAATAATAATAATTTCAAAAATTTTACTTGCATGTCTGATTAAAAAAAAAATAAATAGTGACAATTTCTTGACCAGATTAATGAGTGTATTTCTTTCTTTATTTGATTTATTAACTCACGTTTCTAGAAAGTGCCTAATTAAAAACTGTTAAGTCATCCTAAAAACAGGCACATGAGACACATTGGCCTACAGCAAAGTGTCTTTGTTGTTGGTCAAAAATAATCTGGGGAAAAAATGGCTGATGTGTTCCAGGTTGTTGGAAAGTGAGGGATTTGCTTAATCTCAAATTACAATCCCCAGGTATGCCATCGGTAACGTGGAGCGGAACGGCTCAATTGGGTGGCTCCATACACTCGGCGACCAACTGGGAAAACAATTTAATGACTCCATCCCAGGTACTGAGACTCACAACGGTGCTGGTATTGTTAGCGTGATGTCAAACCAATATTGCAGCCTTTCCAATACATACCGGTGTAACCTTTGCGCTTCAACAGGAACGGGCCCCTCCATTAAAGACAAGTACGTCACGGCTCTCTACTTCACCTTCAGCAGTCTGACCAGCGTGGGTTTTGGCAACGTCTCCCCGAACACCAACTCGGAGAAGATTTTCTCCATCTGTGTCATGCTCATAGGATGTGAGTTATGATAATACATAAGATATCTAAAACAAACAAACGGAAAAAAAAAATCTGTGTATACTTTTCTAAATATGCGCTGAAGGGGATTTGCCTTTTGAGCAGCCTAGTGGCCATTTATTTTTTTAGGTCAATTTTTTGCCGCTCTCTGTTTCGCCATCTCACTCACCGCTATCCTCCATGCCGACTTTCACTGGACAAATCTGTCTGAACTGATTTCATTCTGTCCCGCAACCAGCTTTGATGTACGCCAGCATCTTTGGCAACGTCTCTGCCATCATCCAGCGGCTATACTCGGGGACGGCCCGCTACCACACCCAGATGCTTCGAGTCCGAGAGTTCATCCGCTTCCACCAGATCCCCAACCCGCTCAGGCAGCGGCTGGAAGAATATTTCCAACACGCCTGGTCCTACACCAACGGCATCGACATGAATGCTGTGAGTACCTGTGATCCACATGTACCCACTTGCTACGTGTGTACACCGAGTCTTTGCATCAAATTGAACCCGCATGAATACACACCCCGAGGCTCGAGTAGCATTTTGAGCCTGCGTTGTACATTAATAGGATGATTGGAAGACTTTGTCTCAGCATGCATGGTCCGACACCATCAGAGAAAATAGGAAAGATGTGAGTATTATAAATAGCACACACACACTCCCTCCCATGTCACGCTTGGACCGCCACGAGCTCATATAAGAAGGCGAGTATGCAGCCAATCACGACGCACATATGAAACCCCCAGGGCTAAATGAAACACGCATGACTGCTGATCAAGTCATTCAGTTGTGCTGACCACAAAGGCGGGTTCATGTTGGACGGGCACAACGTTGGCTTTGTGAATCGCACCTGTCAGTGCGCACAAAGGCACCATGAGTGTATACCAAGTGACCGCCGCCTGAACCGTTTGTCACGGCCAATGGGAGGTCGCATCCCAATCAAATGCCCGACTACTCTGTTCTGTGTCGACTCAGCCGTGACACACAGACGCACCAGCGCAACTGCGGTCATAAACGCGTCACACATTTCGCACCACGCAATGCATTCTTGGAACCCAAAATGATATTTTTTTAAACAGATTCATTGTCAACCCATGCTGGCTTGCACATAATAAAAACCCATGAATACTTGATTCCCATTGAACTGCATTGGGGTTTAAATGTTATTTTATGCATTTTCTGCCCAAACGTCAGCAATTAGTTCATATTGGTTGGGACCTGGCACTCACTACTTGATCCCGGTGCCCCTCATTGTTTTTTTTCTTCTTTTCTTTTTTTTTTTTAACTATGAAATAATTGAGGTTACCTACCTAAGTTGTGAAAATAAGCAAGCAGAAATAACAAGACTTATAAAACATGACGGTACTTTCACTCTTTGAACGATAGCTGTGCTCAGAAGAAAAGCTAATGCAAAAAATACCAAAAAAAACCCACCAGCAATGCCTTCCAACGGTGAATATTGATGTAGCGTGAAAATAAAAAGCACACCCTTGAAAGTTAACAGTCGAGCAAATGCTTGCAGCACCATTAAACAAGGAAAGGTCTCCTACGGAGGTCCACTGCAACACATTACCAAGGCAACAAAAGAGTTATGTGTCAAAAGGAAGCCAGGAGTGTAATTTATTTAGTGGGAGTACATTAAAAAAAAAAAAAAATGAGTGGCCTAAAGTTGCCACCTAAAATGGCTTGGGCTCCCCATGTTTGCAGCATTGAAATTGCACCTATTCTTCACAATAATAACACTCTACGGGCCTGCTCGCTTTGTTTTTTTGCTGAAACATTCACAAAAACCTCCCCCGTTTGCTTTTGCGGTGAAACTCCAGAAAACAATGGACATTTACCGTTCAAACTCAGAAAACTGCTGACTCGTGTCCTTTTGGGTAAAAGTCGGACTGAGACTCAGTAGAGCACAGACCTCTAAAAAGGTTGTCCGACTGCTTTGTGGAGAGCTACGTTTCCGCGTCCGCTCTGAAATGAATTACAATCACGGTGCAATATAAAGTCTTATCCTGAGTAGCTGTCAAGTTGATTCTGGGATCTTTAGTCGAAAGAGCATATTCGAAGTAATCCGTTGGTGCTAAAAGAACAATGTTCCGCAGACTGTTATTGAACGTCAGTGTTGACCACTAATGAACATTGTAGAATCCCTCCACAAATGACAAAGCAAGGCTCTGGTTTGATGACATTCATTCGGTGAACTATAAGAAGACTTTTAGTTGTCGAATGTTAACAGGACCCAAAAATATATGTGTCATTTACCACCTCAAAAAACATTTTGCTTTACAAAGACCACCATAATGCCCGATGTTAAAATATAGTCGTACAGTAGGCCCAAGTGTTCATGAAAAAAAGTAGAGGTTTTGATCCTTAAAGAGTATGTTAGTATGCTAAGTGTGCAAATTTATGATACGAGTTAAGCTAAAATGTATTTAACATTGCACTGCAAAAAAAAAAAAAAGTGAATCCAATGTTATGCACAGTTTGAACATTTAATTCAGTGAATCTTCTCCGCATCAATACAGGCTTTGAAAATCACTCCTCTAAACTTTATTAATCCGCTCCTCAATGCTAACGGCACGTATCCATACTGACGTTACCTTCCTCTGTCAATTCAACTGCTGTATTTCTAACACCTCTTAACCTTCCTTCTTTCCAATTGTCTCCTCCTCACACTCCTTCTCTGCCCGCCTCCCTCTTTATCTGACCTTCTTTCTAACCTTTCTTCCTCCCTTCATTTATCTCGGCCTCTTTGGATCCTGTCCCCTCCATCCCCACCGCCCTATCCCCAGGTGTTAAAAGGTTTCCCAGAGTGTCTCCAGGCGGACATCTGTCTCCATCTCAACCGGACTTTGCTGCAGAACTGTAAGGCTTTTAAAGGCTCCACCAAGGGCTGCCTCAGGGCCTTGGCAATGAAGTTTAAGACCACCCACGCACCCCCCGGTGACACGCTCGTCCACGCCGGGGACGTCCTCACCGCGATCTACTTTATATCCAGAGGATCCATAGAAATACTAAGAGGAGATGTTGTGGTTGCCATACTAGGTAAATTCTTGTTTTACTTTTTTCCTCATTTGTTGTCTTTGTAACTAGTAATGCTTAACAATAAAATATGCACTACAGTAATTGGAGGCGCCCTCTGCTGGTTGCCCAATCAAAGTTTCATGTCAATGACGATCGGAATACCAACTGGCTTCCTGATTATTAAATATGGTATTAATCTAGGTTGTACTAAGAGAAAACACTGTGCTGCATTTAATAATACTGACGTAATACTTGACAAAATTATCCAACAAGACACCCCTAAAATCTTTTTTCAACAGTCTGTCCTTTTAAAACAAGCTAGATGAGTGTATAGTCATACTCATACAATACTTAGCTCCAAATATAATATTCTAATAACAATAATACAGCACCCCCTTGCCTTAAAAAAATGGTTTGTCCCACCCACTCCCTCCCCTCCACCCTCCATCCCCACCTTTCACTGTCACAGAGCTCTGTGTTATTTTTCCACAGCTATTCCGTTGTTGTGTAAGCCAACCAGGTTTTCGCATCCCCCTCTTTATATGACACCGCTTCTCATTCTCAGGAAAGAACGACATCTTTGGTGAACCTATCAACCTGTATGCTCGACCGGGTAAATCCAACGCCGACGTGAGGGCGCTTACCTACTGTGACCTTCACAAAATCTTCAGGGAAGATGTTCTAGAGGTGCTGGACATGTATCCGGAATTTGCGGAACACTTCTGGAACAACCTGGAAATTACCTTCAACCTCCGTGATGTGAGTTTTGAACTGTAATTCGGAAAAAAAAAAAAAAACAACAACAACAAAGAGAAACATCATTTCTATTTTTCATATGATATGTTATATTGTTATTTTATGCAGACCAACATGATCCCCGGCTCTCCAAGCAGCGATGAGTCTAAATGCGGGGGCTTTAACAAATTGCGCCGACGGAAATTATCATTTAGGCGGCGCACAGAGAAGGGTAACGCATCCTCCGGATTGCTTATTGGAAGTGTTGTTGTCGTAAATGACAAGAAATACACTGGCGTCAAATCCCCAATATTTGCTTTCCACTTTCCTGACCAGATGACGCAGATGTCGGCGAAATTAAAAAGTCCCACAAGTCTGTAAACAGAAGACGAGAGAGAGAATCAGCCCATAACCAAAAACGTCAAGAGGCTGCAAAGAGGCAGTTTCGCAACTCGGTGTCTTCCCATTCTAGCGGGGATGAGGTGCAAAATCCCAGCCCCCCCGCTCCTTTTTTTTTTTTTTTAATTACTTACGATACTTAAAAGTAATGTGATCATGTCCTGGTCTGAAAGGGAGAAGAGTCAGTTGTAACCAGCCTCGCTCCGTCATCTGCAATGTTGGAGAACCACCATGTACAGGCGGCACACAAAAACTTCTCTGAGAACACAGATGGCGATGGAGAAGTCAAGACGGGCAACACCTGCAATGCATTGTCAGGTAGAAATAATAATTAAAAAAAAAAAAAAAGAGTCATGCTGTTGCATCTCAACGTTGCTTCATCATGAGTCAAAGTGTTTTGCCATCACTCAATATTCTCCTCTCTTTTGTTTTCAGGTGCCCTCTCAGGTGTGTCCAACATCTTCAGTTTCTGGGGGGAAAATCGAGGGGGTGGTCAGTACCAGGAGGTTCCCAGCTGCAGCCTCGCCTCCCCCCCATCCCTCAGCACACCTTTGCACAGCTTGAGCCGCCAGCAACGCAGCCAGCTGGACACGCGCCTTGACCTGTTGCAAAAACAACTTAACCGGTACTCACATTAACGGCTTTCAGTTTCCTGTAAAAATACAAATGTAGTCTGGCTTTTTTTAATTTTGAAAAGTGGCTCCCAAAAACAATAAATGACCACCCAAAAAAAACCACATTCACCCACAATACACAACAACACCAAAAATCTCAATTTTACCTTTGCTAATAGAGGTTTTTTTGCGCAGCAGACGTCGTGACTTTCTTTGGCAGAACGGGATGCACGTTCGACATGGTTACATGACCAAGTGAAAATGCTGTTCAGTGCAACTTTTGCTTGTGATTCTGTTTCATAAGACTGAAAATTGCTTTCCGTCCAAGCGAATGGAGCTCGTTTGAACTGGAAACCCCGGTTTTTCAACCCAAACGAATTATTGTGTGCAGATTGGAGACTCGTATGTCAACAGATATCGGAACGATCATGCAGCTGCTGCAGAGACAAATGGCTCTGGTCCCCCCCGCCTATAGTGCTGTCTCGTCACCGCCTCAGGTAGAAGCATAGCAATGTACAGTTCATGCACAAAACCTCACTCGGGGATGAGTTTGGGACACATCTGACTGGCACAGAGCAGGACCACATCATCCCCACCACAACAGAGACAAGAAAATGCTGTGTGGACAAGTGGACATTTTCCTTCTGTGATCATGCCATCTCACTCACAGGCCTCCCCATGCGCTGATCCAGGCACTGGAGAGAAACTGGTCCCGCCTGTTACACAACTTGAGACAAACACCCTGGCCTCCTTATCACAGGTGAAATGCATTTCCAATTCTGTAAATACATCGGCCTGCTGTTATTTATATCACACACTGCATTTTGTTTCAATATGCTGTACATGAGATCAGGGTACGTTATTATGGAGTGCACTGGCATTCTGGCACGTTGGGCAATGTTCCGATAAATAATATTCTCAGGCATATATTCTTTATCCTCTGCAAAAAATGATGAATTATACTGCAGGTTACTTTGAGTCACTTACAGTGGTTGAGTGAAACTCGCCTTCATTCGTCCGCACGGTGGTCAGATTGCACACACCAAAAGGTGCCACAATTAATTTTTCATGATGCAAAAACTGTTTTCTTCTTTACATTCCATTTAATGATGTCAGTACGCCATGTTTTTATAAAACATTAAATGAAATACAATTTTCCTTCTTAAAATATACATCACAAAATGTTTTGTTGTTTTTAATTTTGTAGGGGGGGTGTCGGCCTGGAACAAATTAATGTCATTTCCATTCTTTTCCATGGGAAAAGATGACTTGAGATACAAATGCTTAGAGTTCCAAGCATGGTCAACAAAATAGTCATACGTCTAGGAGCCAGCACTGTAATGGGCTATAATGGTGGATTCAACACAACTGTCGTTTGTTTCTGTTTAGATCTTGGACTCTCAGGACTTTGAGGAGTTCTCAGCCACGTCTCCTGAATCCCAAGAACTGCGGGACTCACCTTTGATCGACACCAGCCAGAACCAGCGCTCCTCCTCTGGACTGGACATCTTAGGACAGCATTTGGAGCTTGAGATTGGTTTGGAAACTGGAGGTGCGACAATTTCAGACCCAGCGCTCGACTTAGATTTAGGCAAAGGCGCAGGATCAAATTCACCTTCCGGATTGATCTCGAGCCTAAGAAGAACAGGGTTGGAATTCAATTCCGAGTTGCGTATCGATGTTGGCGGCGAGCAAGCGGCTGCAACGGGGCGATTTGACCAGGATTTGGAAACACAAAGGAGATCGTCTCTCCAAGAGTCACATCCACCTCAGGACTCACGGACAGCGCAGAGACACAGCTCGGACCCGGGGGGTAGCTAAGGAAGAAGCGAAGGGTACGGAGAACGGGAAGGTTCGACAGTGAGAGGGAAGGAGGAAGGATACTGCTGGCCCTATTTCAAACTTTGCAACCAAAACCCTCCTGTGACCTTAAACGCAAGGATGCGCCATTCATGAAGAGCGCTCTGAGCCCAGAAGGGAAAATAAGGTGGATGCCTCTCTATCTCTCTTCCTAGTTTCTTCCCCATTCCGCATGAACACCCAGAGCTCTTCAACAGTGCAACCTTGAATCACCCCCCGCCCCCCACCCACCCAAAAAAGAGCAGAGAGGTGTCCTGAACAGGCAAATCGAAGAGGGGTGGCATCACTCAAAAATGACTGCAATCCTTAGGCGTATCCCTTTACTGCTGAATCCAGTCTTAAATGACTTATCGAGGACATGTAAAGACGAAAAAGAAAAAAAAAAAAAAACAACAAAAAAACCAACAGACCGAATAATAATGAAACCAGTAGCCATCATGTCTTGCACTGAAACAGTTACTCTATTCTTATGTGTCAGTGGCGCTTCCGAAAAGAAACCTCACAAACCGGTTGGTCAAAATGTAGTGTTAGCTGGCCTAACAAGAAACCCGCTGTCCCATTATGTCAACGGTTCCTTGCCTCCCCCCCCCTCTCCCCGATGTCCCGCGCCAAGAGGTGGAGAAAATGTTGCGCCCGAATTCCCAAGAGCACACTTGACTGGCTGGCTGGTTTGCACCTCAGGCGTGGGAACTGGAGGGTTCAAAAGCCATGAATTTTCTTGACGAACATATCAGCTGCCCTACCAGAACCAACATTTTCTCGTGGGTGACGAACCATCCGCATGCCTGTCATGGAAATCGGCAAACCCAAACGTGTACACAAACGTGAAATCCCAGTTTTCCAACTCGGTAAGCTTTTTGAGTTTTTGCAGAGGAGTTGACGTCCGCAGTGGGTTTGAGTTTATTTTATCATTGTTGAATATGCTACCTCAGATTTCACTGGTCCGTTTGTTTTTCCACCTAAGCACCCGGAATGCTTATAAATTGTACATAGCAGTCATGAGCTACTAATATATATATATATATACACACGTTGGACAGTTTACGACCAGACGAATGCGCCATTATTTTCTGTACAGTACAATATGCAAACACTGGCAAGAAGAGTCGAGTGAGTGCGCTTTATGTATTGTGATTTAATTTTTTTATTATTATTTTTTTTTTTATGTTTGCTAAGTTTAGGTCTGTGCGTGTTTTCTTTTTTTGTTTTCAGTCTGCAGAACATAAATCAGAACTGGTCAGTGTGTCAGCTTCGCCCCACTGTCGATGGACACAGCAAATCGGTTTTCTTAATTAGGGAGACATTACAGCCAAGATGTTTTGCTTTTGTGGATCTAAACAGCACATGTAAAATCCCTTTAATATGAAGTTTCCAAATAGTTACACGGTCATCTGAGTATGCCCGAGACTTTTTAATCCTTTAGCAGTAACGTTTCAGAATTTATAGTACCACTTGTTATTGCAATTGTTATTGCCAGACGTAAACATTGTACTTTTACCTAAAAGATGCGAACTGAGATCCTCTGAAGTATGACGACGCTCGGACACACAGGGTGACCGGAACGCCACTTCTTTCATGGAGTCAAAGAAGAAATGTAACGTCTGCAACAAATGTGCTCATATGCAGTATGATTCATCTTTAGAGTTGAATGAGCAAACTGTTACAGGGCACCCCCAAAAGTCACCACACACACACACACACATGCTTTATAATGTTTTCATTTCAGGTACCATTCGGACAGACGCGAGGCCGCTTAGGCTTTGCTGTTTTTATAGAAGCGGATGTTCCCACACCCATGACTCACCGAATGACATGAGATGAGCTTTATTTAATTTTTTATTTATTTATTATTTTTTTGCCAGCAAGAAATTTTTTGCTCCCTGACTGCAGTTGAGTGTCAAATGATTTTTCCCTCCAGGACACAAACAACAGTCGTACATACAGTATCTAATCGTGACATTGAAGTTATACACCTATTAGCATCAATTCACAAGAATAAGAATAATTAAAAAAGATTAAGAAGCCCTCCTCCATCCCACTTTTCCACTTGTCTTCCCTGAAATTTTGTGCACGACGTAAACTGAGTGCAATAGTCCTTTAAAGTGATTTGTAGCAGCCGCAACACTTCGATTCACGTTTTAGCACTTTATATTTTAACCAGTGCAAATCTTTAATCGAGACTCAGGAATGTGTCCTTTGGTTCCTTTTTTTTTTTTTTTAATTTGTCTGATAAACAATGAAAGAAAATAGAGTCAACATTTGCAGAGTCACAACCTTGAACTTTAATTCTGGTGTATTTCCCCTTTAAGGCAGCATTTCAAAGATTGTATCCTGCTGCTTGCTGGTCGAAGCTAATTTATTTATTTATTTGTGTGTCTAGTTATTATTATTATTATGATTATTATTATTACTATCATTTTGTCTGTGAATTATTGTATGATTTGTAAATGTCTAATCATGTTTCTTCCAGATGTTCGTGTTTGATTTTTGTTCAGTGTTGTCCAAGAGTCTAATTGACACTCAGGCAAGTCCAAATTTTTAGGATACGGAAAGGGGTTGATCATTTTAATTCAGTGATTAATTACTGTATTCTTAATAATAACTTTTAATGAATAACTTTATTCCCAGTCTGTCCTCGTTAGCGTCAGTAACTGCAAAATGTGGCTGTAACGCTCAGTGAAGTTGCACTTTAGTATTGAACCAAAGCAAGTGGGTGGTGAAACAAAACGAGGGTTGATGATATTTTTGCCTCACGTCATGTGCGACTCAAAACTTTTGAAGGACGGGCAGTGGAAACCAAAATCTCGCTTGAACATTCAATGAAGGCTTGGCAGTGTAGCGTGAGCTGTCATACACGTGTTCCTCCGAACTGGTGATTGGAGTGAACCTATTTTTATGATAGTAATAATAATAATATTATCTCTCAGAGATGGGCACTTTACCCTATTTTGCCAATCCGTCCGTGACCTGGGTACCCTTCCGTTATCGTCCCTCCGTCCTTATTCATATAGTAATCGTCCTCCGTCCCTTTCCGTCCTCGTCCTTTTAAAGAGCTTCCTCAACATGACAGTCCAAATCCGGAATGTAGGGATCTAAACTTCGCCTTCTGTGCCAAAACTGCCATTGATGGTCACCAAAATTGAAGTTAACATCTTTACTTAATGCTCCAATCAACCTCTGAAAATATTCGTATGATCACCCAAGTACGAGGGATTTTGGGGTGCTCACTACAAAGCTTCTGTCACTTCACGAGAGAAACGCGTCGTCCATAAAACACAAAAGACATACAACACAGCCAACTTTCTTAAACCGACTGGATTGATCGTTCGTGAAACGGGTGTCCGGAGGTACTTTATGTTCTCTCGATGTACGCTAGGTGGCAGTGTTGCTTTAAAATACTGTTAAGATGAAAATATTGGAAATTACATTATTAGAAAGTACAGTACAATGTTTGGCTACATTATGGCCTTGTTATTTAGCCTATCAACACCACATACTTACCCCGGTTAACATTATTAAAGGGGCTAAAACAGTAATTTAAGTTGAAAAACGTTAAAATATACAGTACATTATTGAAATTGTTTTACTTATATCTTTAAATTGTGGGGGGTGGGGAACAATTCAAAGGACAACGAGTTCTGTAAACTCTTCACATTAGCAAAACCTAAAATATTTGTTTAATTGCACAACTTAAAATGCTATCAGAGTCTGCTTACATGCAAATTTGGAGTTCACTCAATTTTTTATTTTATTTTATTTTTAAACCATGCCTAATATTGCTTCCGGGACACCAACCCTTGATGCTGCTTTTCCTTTTCTTGTGTGCAATCGGTCTACAAACATCCAAAAGAAGCACATACATGTTTAATTGTATTCAAAATCATTTCTATGTACAGGATGTGTTGTGTGTCAGTGAGGCCTGTTAACTAAAGACGACTGACTTCATATATCCAGCAAGAAGCCAGTGTTTACTGTACACTTTTTTCCCCTGTTAGTTTGGCTCTCCTTGACATCTCATGTACTGTAGCGAGTGTTTTTGTTTTTTTTTTTTTTGCTTGTTTGTTTGTTTGAGTACAATAAGTCACCTAGTGGCCTGAACTTGTTACTTTACATTCAGAACGATGACCTCAAATGTAGAATGTGGTTGTATCTTATTTGACCTAGTAAGTGTCAGTAGACCCAAACATAATATTCAATGCTAGAGAATACAGATTTATGTAATGCATACTGCATCTTAAACCACTATGGGTACACTGAAAAAAGAAGGCAAGGAATTTGCACCAGAGTCGGAAGTGGTACTGCATGAATAGGGAAGGTGTGTTTAAAAGAAAGAGTCTTTAAAAACAAATGGTAAAAAAAAAACAAAAAAAAAACACTTAAATTAGCTCCTGCACTCTTACAGACGCACACTCGCTTGCTAGCTCTTCCATACTTTTGAGCATTTTTCAGCTCTATTCAACTTTCTATATGAGTTCCACCGGACTTACATTTGTAGATATTTTGAGCACTTGAGGTTTACACAATACTGGATCTACTCACGTCGCTCTTTGTCTGTACATACCAACTTGTACTTCTTGTAAAGGTATCAAAAACCTTGGCACTCGTATAGCCAGCACTATGCAGAAACTGAAACATTTCTTTGGCATGCTTTGAAATGCAGAATACTATAGAGGGTATTGTGAATAAAGTCTGCTCTAATTTTCTTATGAGAAAACGTGCCCTATTGAGAGGGGAAAAAAAAAGAAACGTGGGTAAGATTGACGATGACCAAGTTAGACTTTTCAAATTGTGCACATTTTTACCTGCATGTTGCACTCAAAATCTTGCAGAAGTGAGAGGATTTGATGTGCAAAACAGCTGACTGCTGCTGTCTGCTTGCAAACTGTTACGTCGAGTTGATCACGGAAATCTTCCGAATTATGGGAGACTCATTTATACATAGAGTTCAGTACACGTCACTCCTGCACAGAACAGTCTCCCAAGTTTGAGGAGCACTTCATTTAGGAAGCCTGCTAATAGCAAGCTAAATCAAGTGCACCTTAATTATTCCAAACCCAGCTTGAACCCGAGTGAGGGTGAAAGGAAGGTGAAAGAATTATGGCTTGGAAATTAACGAAGTGTGTGATGTTCAGGAAAAAAAAATACTTTGTGATCAATATCTAATAACAGTCCCGACAAATAATTCAATTACTGATTCACTTACGGTGAAATGCAAAGTTCATTCTTCTTATTTCATATCATATTGACTCGAGAGGAAAATGGTGCAACTCCAGGCTCTGACTGTGTGATAGCATTATCAATGGTTGAAGTTTATAAAAATTTCAAAAATATTTATTTCAATAAACATCTTTGAAAGCAAATTGACACGTGTGCAATAATTGAGCTGACTTTTGCTGTGTAAAAATACCTCAAGTGACTCATGAAAAGAGCAGCATGTCTGCAGCCTTGTTGACTACTTGACTGCAAATTGAGAGCAGGCAATGTGACATCAAAACTGGTCTACACGTCTTCTTTCTGACTCTTGCATTGTAGATTTGCTGTAATTAAATATTTCTGCATATACTTACTGTATGCATACTGTCATACATTGGAGACAAATTTTCTTAACCCAGTGTTGCTTATTTATCTTTTTTTTACTAGCGATCACTAAATTGCTGGGTACTCATGGTGTTTTTAAAAGGTGGTTAGATCTCCTTTGAAGGTCCGGGTTTGCCTGAAACAGAAATAGAAGCGCTTCCTCATGCGGGGCTGACTACACGGTGACGTCATTGACTGATTACCTAGAAAGAATTAATGAGGTCACACGTCAAGATACCTTTTTGCCATCAACTAGTCCTTGCCAATTCGATCACAAGGTGTCACTAGAGTTCAACGTGTCATTTGAGAAATAGGAGCCTCCTCTTCTGCTAATCCCCTCCTCGACTCGTTTTATTTATTTATATCCACAAGAGGACAGCACGTTAAAATACAATAGGTGGACGCATTCAAAATGGGATTGTGCCTTCACTCTTTAGTCGCAGTGACATTTGCAGCGAGCCAAACTGACGCCTCGGGGCGTCTTCCAGTCCGAAGGGCCTTGCCCGGTTGCCCGTATTCCGGCGATTGGTTCTGCCCGACCGTAAAAGGAGTCGAACTTTTCCATTGAAAGCACCATGTGTCTGTCAAAAGTCCCTTTGGTGACGACAACGAATCTGCTGAACATTTGGGAGCCGCGATTGGCCCATCGACTTGTCATGCGCACAAAACTATTACGTTGATTGGCTACAAAAGAGGTCAATCATATTCCAAGGCAACGATTGGCTCCGAGGCTCCACGTGGGCGAGCAGCTCGTCTGCGGCTAGGGTAGAGCTTTCTCCAGTGGGCGGACTGAAGCGGTGACAGCGACGCTCGGAGTCTCCCGACAAACTGCCAAAAGCAAACAAACGGTGAGTCGAGCTGAAATCGGACTTTTATGGTGTGAATGCGTTTGAAAGAATGTGCATGGTTAGCAGGAGGTGCAAAGTTTGTCGATGGGTTGCTCGAGTCAGTTGCAGTGACACGACGGTGATTTTGGATGAGTGATCTCACATTACGGTGCGTCCAGGAATGATGGTGCGTTCAGGTGCTGGTCGGAAACACGTACTTTCTCTTTGACTGCGCAGTCGGAATGTCCGCGCCCTTTCTGTTCATTTGAACCTGCTTACGCTTAGATTCTTGTCTGTCTCGCCTTCCTGTCAACACAAAGACGACACTTTGCATGCGTTGCATAGCTGGCAAGTGAATATTGTAAATCCGATGTTGAGCGGCGAGCTTCCGAGCAAGTTACGCAAGGCAGTTTGAGTGTCACGCTGTCTCTGGCGGATCATTCATTTGCAGTTTGAATCTGGGGAAAGAGTTGGGTTATATGTGTAATAATTACGTGAATGCTGAAGATCCTTAGCACGTTTCTTTCCTTGCACCCCCAAACATGGTAGTACTGTTGCATGATGATGCCGATTTTCACCGTTGCTCTCCTTCCACATTGCTCCACCTATTCAAACCAGCCTCATGCCCATTGATCCCTGCAGGCTGAATTCTTTATTCATGAACATTCTTTTCTTTTTGTCAAGTACAAAATGACCTTGTTAATTACCTTGTGAAGTTCAAACTGTTTGCATTTTCATCCTGCCACATCCACACCTTTGACACGTTGCATCTTTGCACATTTTCAAACCCTGAATCCGCATCTCTCTTATCTCTTGATCATATTAATTTTATTTTTTGGTTTTGTTCTAGATTCATTTTCACAAGTCTTGGCCCTGACTGGGCTAACCTGGGACATCGAGTGTTTTATTTCAAGCCAAATCACGTGGACATGTTTGAGTACAACAAAACAAACAAAAAAAAAAATTGGATCTTTTTATCCTGGAATTTAGAGAAAAGTACATTCCTTGACTCCTTGAAAACTGAATTTGCCCCATATCAATTTTCGAAACTCTGAGGAGCTGCTAGCATGAATTTCCACCAAACTCTTTCGAAATCGTCATGGAACTTTCATTACCCAAGAAAGTTGGTTCATTTAGATTGCTTTAGAGCATTTTCCTGATTTACACTAATTAGGTGATTGATTCAATCTGGGGGGGGGGGGCAACCCTGAGAGGATTGTCACCCTCCTTTGCTCCCCCGCTCCCTTCCTCCATCCAGATTACTCGCCAATCCTCCAATGTCAGTGTCAGATTACTGAGTTGGGAATCAGAGGTGGGACTGATCTGAAGTGCTGAACTTTTTGTGAACTTGATCCAATCACCGTAAAATGGGGCGCTCTTCCACGCTTCGCTCGCAGCTGAAGCATTTTGCCCAAGGCCCTGACAATCACCTGAAAGATTATTTCCTGTGTCTTTTACTCTTTTCTTACACGCACACTTATGACATCGCCATACTATAGATACTTGTTGAACGGAAGTCACCTGAAGTATGCATGCAGAGCTATTGCAATAGGGAAGGTTTTGCGTGACATCATCCGTGACAGTTTTCCATATTTCGGAAGTTTATTTATTTATTTTTTTTGAGGTGGGCGGGGCGGGAGTGACGAAAAAACCAAATGAAAATGAATCAAGGGCGTTGGAGGAGTATTCGACTGTGGTCAAGGACAGCCCTTTTTTTTTTTTTCAAGTGTTGAATGCATTTGTAGTATCCTATAATGAGTACATGTCGTCTCCAAGGCGTTCCAAGTCGATGGCTCACAAGTATTTCCTTTGTTGGTCACCTTGAATATTCCGCGTGTCCTTGCCAACATCAGATACGTCGCAGTCGTTTTGGAATCATAAATGGTTAATTTATGATCCAAAGAAGACGCTCATCACAAAATATAAAAGGGACACATGCAGGGCATCAAATAATGTCTAGTTGAAGTCATCTCCCAAATTTGGAAAAGGAATCTCGACGAGTCCCAACCGTAGCAGGTTTTAAGGTCACCGGCTTGCCGCCTTCTGAAAACGGAAAATGAATCCATTGTTACTCTTCAGAGACAATAAATGCATTATTATCCTCCTGTGCTGGAAAATGAAGGGTGCCACGGATGCTGCTTATCTCCACGATCTGAGTTTTTTTTTTTTTTTAAATATAGATGATTCACTTCTATAATTGATTGATTTAAGATTTCCAGTCAGTTGATTGAATTTGGATTGCGTTGCTCATGGCTATCTCCGTCCCTAGTATGCCTTATTCATAATTAATGTGTTATTCTCAATACACAAGCTGTGGTAATGGCTTCGTTGCTGCCCAAATGATTGAACTAAGGGACCCATGAACATAGTTCGCAATAAGTTATTTGTTTATGCGTAAAACAAGTGCATTCAAACGCGACGGGCAGTTTGAATATCAGGGCAGAAAATGCTTTGCCCATTTTTTTAAGACCTTCCAGCATCTTGAAATGTTTTATTGCGGGCTGAAGAGTTTCCAATGGAATTTAAATTTTTCAAAGAATGTTAATTACTTCTCTGCTTATTGAGTGTGTCAATACCTCCCACCCCATTGAAGTCAATTTAAAATTGGAAGGGGGCGGGGGGGAAATGTACTTGTTTCTCCGCCATTCTCATGAAATACGTAATCGCTGATTTGAAATAGGATTTGGAGCTTTACGGAGCGTTATTTCCGCCCGAAACACAGATGTGTCGGACAATGTCGCCGTGCGCGTGTTTATGTTTGCGAACACCCCAGCAGCGTGCGTGTGGAAGGATGAATGTTTGAACTCTGAGATTGCGTGACAACCGCAGATGGACTGAATGAAATGATGGCGGGAGGGACGGATGGCGGAGAGGAGCGGCACGGTGCCGGGTGAAGGGCTCCCCGTAATCCCCGGTCACAACAACATCAACATCAACAACAACAACAGCAGCAGCAGCAGCTGGAATTAGAGTGTCAGCAGCCGGGCTTGGCCGCTGTCATCTGTCCCGCTAGGGACTTGGAATGAGAGCTGGGGTCACTTGGCACTCGGGGCCGTGGAAAGGTTGACGGACGGACACACCGGAGTGACTCAATTGACGATTGTCTTGACACATTTCAAGTGGAAAGTCAGTCGCTTGACCAGTTCAGAGATATTGTCAACTACAACCGGACCGCATGCAACCACTTTGCAGGTGGACACGACAGTTTCGACATTGACTATTGTTTCCTGCATCGTTACATTTTATTTTCTCGGCAAAAGACAAAGGTCATTTGTCTCTCATGGACTTTGTTCATCTGTGGTGAACATATTTCAGAGACAATTTAAGAGAGCCTTCACTTAGTACTCGTGGCTAAACTGCATGGACGCCATGAAATGGTTTTAGCCTGAAAATAATGCAAATAGCTAAAAAAAAAAAAAAAAAAAAAAAAAAAAGGGGGAGAAATTTTT